AAAAAAAAAAAAAAAAGAATGTCAGTGTGAGGACAGAAACCTTTGCTGATTTTGTTCACTGCTAAGTCCCAAATGCTCAGAAGAGTGGGCGCTTAGTAAACACTGATTGCTGAACAGATGAAGAGAGAGGGCCCCAGAGGCCTAGGCTGGAAGGCAGCCATACCTTATCAATGTAGAAGTCAACCTCAGAGGCCGACTGAAATTCGCCATCGAGGGCAGAGATGCCACTGGTCCACACCAGGTTCTTCATCTTGTGCTTGAAGACAAGGAGCTGGATCCGGAACTCCTGCTCTGTGAGGTCCAGGAAGCCAGCCAGCTTGGCCACAGGCATGGTGGTGTAGAGCTTGAGGAAGCTGCGGATGGTGGAGAGCTGGGCCTGCTGCTGCACTTCATCGGAAAACACCTTCAGCTGCTGCAGGAAGGGCTCCTTGTGGTAGTTGGGGTGCACATTGTCATAGTTGGGGACCACAGGCGACAGGAATTTGGGGCACGAGTAGCTGAAAAGTTCCTCATAGACCTGTGGGTCACCCTTTTGCATGCGGAGCATCTTGTCCCCATATTTCTCCCGCAGCTGTAGGTGAATGCTTTCATCGATTCGCATGGGGTACATGGTGAGGGCAATGGCCAGCAGCGCGTGCATCTGCTCATTCTGCTTGTTAATCTGGGGGTGCGAGAAATTGGTGCAGGATCAAATGAGATGGACTTTCTGAGTCCCCACTGCCAACATGGCCCTACCACCCTCCCAAGTACACGCTGCACAGACCTCTGATTTCTCCCTGGTCTTGCACTGGTCAGTTAACTTTCCCGAAGTCTCTCCCAATCCGCCCTCTAGCTCTATTGAACTTCCAGCCCACTTCTGGGGCCTCCTCAGCTGGCTCCTGGATTCTTCACTGGGGCCTCCTTCTAATTCTCCCTGGTCCACCCCATCCTTCACCAGCAGATCAGTCCTCCCACACTATTATGACTGAGTCATCCAGAAATTTTGATGGCACCATAATGCCTATAAAAATTAAATACTTCAGCTAGGTAGTGAAGGTTACCCCAGAACCTAACACCCCAATTTGACTACTCTACAACCCTCCAACAAAACTGTTCATTGTCCTGCTACATCACCATACTTCCAAGTCTCAACACTTTTGCTCTGCCTAGAAACCTCCCAATTTAGGGCGCCTGGGTGGCTCAGTCGTTAAGCGTCTGCCTTCGCCTCAGGTCATGATCCCAGGGTCCTGGGATCGAGCCCTGTGTTGGGCTCCCTGCTCGGCGGGAAGCCTGCTTCTCCCTCTCCCACTCCCCCTGCTTGTGTTCCTGCTCTTGATATCTCTTTCTGTCAAATAAATAAAATCTTAAAAAAAAGAGAAAAGAAACCTCCCAATTCTATGCACGTCTTGGACCCTCCCTCCTCCATGGCAAACTGCTTGAGGATGATACCTACATCTAACTCCTTTTTAAATACCCAGAGCCCAGTGAACACTCAAATTGTTGCTGAATAAATGCTGAGGGACAAAAGTAAAACAAAAGATACTGTCCTTATCATCAAGGAGTTAATGATCTGAAATAATAGGTACAACAAAAGAAACTTAAGAGTAGGCCAGCCATTAAGAAATCATCCTATTGAAAAGACATACAAAAAGGAAAATTTTGGATAGTGTTTACCAAAAACTGTCGGGATTAGGTGCCAAGGGGTCAAGCTGGTCAGAGGCTTCCTTACCATCTCATACTTGTAGGTGGTCCTCTGGAACATGCTCTTGGTCCTCTGGATGTAGAGGAGGATGTTGGCAAAGACCCGGATGGCATCCTGGTAGCGACGCATCATCAAATATGCAAAACCGACGTAGTAGTATGTGGTGACCTGGCACTCAGGCACCCGAGAATACATGCTCTGTGCAGGGAGGGAGAAGCACCCATGAGTCCTAAAACCAATTCATCCCAGAGAGAGTCTGGAAGCTGGCAGGGCCCAGTGTCAGCTGAGGTGGAAGCCCCTTACAGAGGCCCTGAACTACCCAGGGAAGCCCTGGCTCCGGAGTTAGAGGCTCTGAGTTCAGACCATACCATTTACTGATCAAGTTATAGGACCTGATAACTCCATATTGTTAGATGTAACAGAAAAGCACTGGATCAGGTGATCCTAACATTTCTTTCAGCTCCAAATCCCTCCACACCTCAGGTGTGTATTCTTCCTTGCTTTTCCAGATAAACCCGATAAAGACAGATAAACAAGAAAGACTGAAAGACAAAGACACACACAAACAAAAAAGTACTGATTTTTCTGTGGCTAAGAAAAACCACCACAGCTAATCATCACTGTCTATACCATCTTAGAACTAAGTCTCTTACTAATCCCTTTACTAGTAAAATTTGAATAGTAAAAATATGAAAAGTAAAAATCTGCCATTATCATTGTTCTGAAAGTAGAATCAAAGACTGAACATTTTGAGTGTTACTAAGCAACAAAGAGAAAGCACCTTGTCTACGTGCAGATGTTCACTATAGTGCTTCCCCCACGTCTCAATTTTCAACTAGCCTGGGGAAGAATCCTCTTTTTGATCCCTGAAATTTGTCCTTATAGATCAGAGTCTCTGAAAGCAGACTCTGGCTCTGGGTAGGGGGGCAGGGGGAAACAGGTAATCACCTTCTTATTCAGTTCGATATTCTCCAGCACCTTGATGGCCTGGTAGTAATCCCCCAATAGGGAGTGCAGACGCAGAAGCCCCACCAGGCTGAAATACCCAAGCATCTTGTAAAGGGAGTGCCGTCCATACTCGCCAGCCACACTCTCGGGATCACCTGAAAGAAACAGACACTATGACCATAGGGGCAGGTGAAGGAAGGTAAACCTAAGCCTTGAGTGTCACTGAGTCAACTCTTCACCTACTACTGGCCTCTAAAGCTTCCTGCAATAGGGAATAACTGCCTTCAAAGGAATACCCAGAAGCAGCATGCCTGACCTGCATCTTTTTTTTTTTCTTTTTAAAGGTAATCTATACCCAACGTGAGGCTCGAACTCATGACCCCAAGATCAAGAGTCACATACTCTGTACCGACTGACCGGCCAAGTGTCCTTGGCCTTATACTAACCTTAAATTTATCAAGGAGAGTTGTGGGGGCGGGGGGCCAGGTTTTTGTTTGTTTGTTTGGTTGGTTCCAAGACACCTGAGATTACTGAAATGGCCCCTTTTATCAGGAGCAGTTACTCATCAAGGCCACTACTTTCAGGAAGTTCATAGGTCAAAGCTACTTTCCTAATAACACTTAGATGCTATTTGTCTTTCTCACTGAAATGCCATTTGCACTGATGGTGCAGAAACAACAGTGGGTAAAACCACTGACAACCTAGCATAAACCAGGCAGTGGCAGCAAACTCTATCAGTAATTACTGTGTTCTTTCCCACTATATGTGGTAAAAGAACCAGCCACTTTTCCACAAAACACCAGTTTTACTTGAATGATTGACACACAAATTACGGTTACTTAGATCTGCGTATTTAGCAGACATTTTTTCAAAAATGAATGAGGTGAGCCTGTTACACTTCAATAAAAACAACGGAGAGTGCACACTGCTGATGAAAATGTGAGCTTTTAGGCAAATTCTAGTTTTAAAAACATGTATCTGCCACTATGAGCCCAACAGCTTCTAAATAAAGACTTATCTGATGAGGCTGATGATGAAAGTGGTATTTCTAGGTTGTATAATAAAATATGTCAACATTGAGAAAATCTTTGTAACTCAATGAACCAGTATTTTACAAAATTGTGCAGGAGTAAAAAGACCCATTCAAGCTGCAGGATAAACCAGTAAACCTTAACATAACCAAGTAAAAGTTCATTGCTAAGTTTTCGGATTCCTCACTGCAATTTACCAGTATGAAACCCCCATTGTCAAGTTTGGATGCAGTAGCAAAGAACATCAGAACTACCTGAAAAGGCTGTTAAGATACTCCTCCCTTTCCCAACTCCGTGTCTGGGTGAGGCCAGGTCTCCCTCATATACTTCAACCCAAACCGCATATTGTAATTCTAACAGACTGAAGGCAGGGGCAGAATGAGAATCCAGCTCTCTTTACTATGCCAGGCGCTAAGGAGATTTGCAAAAATGGCACTCTTCTCACAGGGAAAAAAAATGTATATGGATAAACTCTGTGATTCTTAGTCTTTAAAGACCGTAAAGCGGTCCTGACACCAAAAAGTGTGAGAAGCGCTTACCTACACGAAGGCCCTGGAGATACAGAAGTGTCTGCAAATCAGATCTCGTGAGTGCCGGCTGGTTCAGTGTGCTGGCCAACAGACGGCCAAGCCCGACAGCCCTCAGCACCCGCCCTTGGCTGCTGTTCACAGCCAATACCAAAGACACGCAGCCGTTTACCTAATCCGCCGTGGCTCCCCCACGCTCCCCACGGCCGCTCTTCCCCTGAACAGATGGCAAGCAGCACTCACCTCCACTTGTATACACCTCCAGCTGCCGGTTAATGTTGGACTTGTCTACCAGGGAGTGAAGGACATTGAGGACACTGTGAACATTCCAGATTTTGGGATTGGAGCGAAGGAAGTCGATCTCCTCCTCCGACTTCTTGGCAGTCTTGCAGCGGTACTGACTGAATGACTGAAACTGTGGGGAAGAAGGGAGAGAGGCAGGAGTGGCGCACGATGTTGAAATGGGGGGACAATGCCTGGGGTCCGAGGGGGAGGGCACAGCACCACATCTCATGCTAAACTGTTCTGTATGCTACTTGTTTTTGCAAACCCATCTTTGATTACACTGAATTGTGTTCATTACTGAGTATGTCACTTCTTCCACAGCTAAATAAAAATCTCTAAGATGAAAGGTAGTTTGTGAAAAAACATTCGATTTGGAGTCAAACACAGCCTAGAGTCATTTAATGTCTCTGGGCTTCACAATGCAGTCGATCTGGCTGTCAGAACTGGGTGGCTTGTAATAGATCTTTTTCTCTTAGGCTGTGCCATGCCCGAGTCAGGATTACGAATGACAACATGGTGGAGACAGGGTTAGGTGTCTGTATGTGTGAGTCTTGCCTACTGGAGCTGACCATCCATTCACCAGGGACAGGAACCCAGTCTGAGTCACCTCTGTAGCGACCACAGGGCCTCACCAAGTGGAAGGCACATCTAGGGCCCACACCACAGGTATTCCTTAAGGCAGTGGTTCTATCTGGAACCAGGAATGGGCTGGTTCCTTCAGTCACCCAGAGAACAGCACAAAAGATCTACCCACTCAACCAGTCTTTTTTTTTTTTTT